CAGCCCCACAGATCACGTTGAGAAACCCCTCAGGACAGCCCAGAGAACGGGTGAAAATTATTTTGGGATATAAAAAACTCTCCAGGACCATCAGCTTGTTTAAAGGCACACTTATTTTCTGAAGACAATGGGGGATTGAAGTCGAATGCTGTCCCTTCTACAACTCCTCACACAATCCACAGAGCTGGTGTGAGGAATAGAGAAATATTTTCGTCTCAAATGTGCTTTTTTCGCCCCCATTCAGCCAGAAAAGAGGGTGTGATGGACACCAAGGCACTGAGTATTTCCCTGGCAGCCTCAGGGAGTGCTGAACTGGAGGGAATTTTCCCCCCCAAGGTCATTGATATGCCCCCAGACGGGTTTAAAAGTTGCATTTTTGCTTGCAGAGGCAGCTGATCTCTCAATTCCCAGACATACACTGGGATGGGATGGACAGGGGATTTGCAGGAGGGTTGCACCAAAGGTTGCACTTGAATTCACGATTCCATGATTTTAAACCCCCAGAGCCCTGAGGAGACCAGGAAAGTTCCTGCAACCACTCCTGGCTTTCTGACACCTTGCAGGAACACTTTGAAACACTCAGGAAGTGCCCAGCAGGTGTGGGGATTTTCGTGGAATAAATGAATAAACCGGGGACTGAGTCTTTAATACACATTTCTCCACACTGAGCTGAAATACAACATGTTAACATTACTGAGCTGTAAAATTGTCACCAAATTTTGCTGGCATTGTTAGAAAAAGAAATGCTGTAGCATAACCCAGCCAGCCACATTATTTCTGCTACAAAAAGTGTCCAAATTAAACCCATTTACCCCTCGGCTGCAAAGCTTCCATTAAGCCTCAATATTCCCCCCCACTAGGGAAGGCAGAGAGCCAGGAAGATCCACAGGTGCTGATGTCCCTGGAGAGATGGAGCAGGAATGTGGGAGTTCCCAGGAGAGGCTCAGAGTCACTCACTCCAGCTAAATTGGTTTTATACATATATTTATATAATTTTTTTTTTAATAAGAAATAGCTCTTTGCTGCAGTCAGGGTAGGGCATCTCCCCAGTCACCACCTGCCCATGGAGCTACACGAGGTTCCCTCACCCTGGGTCTCTGCTCCTTCATCAGAGAACTTTATGTTCTCCCACACTTTGTGCTCCACTTTGAGATCAAGAGGTGAAAAGCACAATTACTGTTATTACTGCTATTAAAGGCAAGCAGTGGCACAAACCACTGGAATTACACGACATTCCTGAGAGAAACTCGGAAACAATGCAGCTTTCAGGGATGTGTGAGAGGGTTTGGGGCTATTTGCATAGGGCAGCAGGGAAGAATTTTATCCCTCCCCTATCTCTGTGCACAAGTGTGTCCTGTCAGCCCCGTGGAGCTGAAGACACCTCAGGGTGAAAATCCCAAGCAGAAGGCTGGCTGGTAATCAGAGGGGGCAGAAAGAGGATGGACAGAGCAAAATCCACTGGTTTCTAAATCAATCTGTGCTGCTGGTGCCTATTTCTACACCCCCTCCCCACACACACACCCACACACACACAAATGCATTCACAACTGCACTGCCACAAAACTCTCTGTACAATCAAAGCCTCGGTGCCAGGGAAGAAAGAAAAGCTCCTTTTATTCAGGGCATCGCCCATCAATGGCTACTTTATATTAAAATCAAGGCACATGCTCCCCAAACTTAAAAGCTGCAGTGGGGGGAGAGGGGAAAAAAAGGTCTCCCTCCTCTGCCATTAACACTTTTGTAACCAGGGCTGGGAGCTGGGCAGGGGTTTTGCTGGATCCACCTGCAGCAGAGGAAAGGGAGGGATGGAAAGAAGGAAGGAAAGATGAGGGAGGAAAAGAAGGAGGGTTCAACTCTGCAGGATGATCTGCCTGGAAAGGAGCCCCTCTGCTCTGGAGCCAGGCTGGGAGAGCTGGGGGGGTTCCCCTGGAGAAGAGAAGGCTCCAGGGACACCTGAGAGCCCCTTGCAGGGCCTAAAGGGGCTCCAGGAGAGCTGGAGAGGGACTGGGGACAAGGCATGGAGGGACAGCACACAGGGAATGGCTTCCCAGTGCCAGAGGGCAGGGTTAGATGGGATATTGGGAAGGAACTGAGGGTGGGCAGGCCCTGGCACAGGTTGGGCAGAGAAGCTGTGGCTGCCCCTGGATCCCTGGAAGTGTCCAAGGCCAGGTTGAAACAATCTGGGCTAATTGAAGGAGACCTCCAAAGTCACCTCAAAACATCCAAAGCTCCAGTCAGTGACCTCACACCAAGAGTTTTAAGCACTTGAAAACCTCATTTATTGAATAAGGCAGCTGGAATTCCTCTGAGGAATTTCCAGTGGAGAGTTCATTTTACCTTGGCTCAACTGGATCATTTGCTCTGTTCTTTTACCCACTTTTTGTGATGCAAATAAATACACTCAAAAGACAATTTTTCCCCCCCAGGTTGCAGAGTGTAGAGAGATAGTAGGAGGACAAAACATGACAGGAGTTAATTTTTTAATACCTGTGGCTCATCCCCTTCCCAAATTTCCCCCTGTTTTAATGAGAAATTCCCCACATGAGGGAAACCAGCACTGGCCCTGCTTTTCCCTGCACATCCATCACCCCCTAGAACAGACCAAGAGGAACCTTTGCTTCTGCCTTCAGGGCATTAAACATCCCTGCAGATGCTGCTGCTGCTGGCAGAGCCCTTCTGGGAAAACTGTGATAATTCATTTATCTGGTGAGTAATTCCAGGGCTGCACAACTCAGGTACCAGCTCAGTGGACAGCCTTAAAGTGGGAGATTGGCTTTAAAATTCAGACTGATAAGGAGCCTGTCTTTACATCCTTCCTGTTTCCTGATTTGCTGGTTCATTTATTAACAGTTCACCCCACTTTATGGAGAACTGGGAGAGCTGAGAATCCAACTTGAAGCCAATCCACATTTTCACTGCTCTGTAAATATATTTTTAAGGGGCTGAAGAAACGTTTGTAAATCTCCTGCTCTCACCAAGCAGCACATTTTCCACAGGGCCCCTTGCAATTTGTTTAATAATTGTGCTCCCAGAAGCCCAGTCATAAAAAAATCAGCAAAACTCCCCAAATCTTGGCTAAGCCACAGCACTGAGAGAGCCTGAAACAAAGCAGCAAACCCACAGGAAGGCTGAACTTCAGAACTGAGGCATCCAAGTCCTTTTGCAGGACATGGTTCGTGTCAATTATGTTGTAAAAGAAAATCACATTGTGATACAGAACGAGATTAAGTAAAGAAAACTAAAAAAAATAAAAAAAATAAAAATAAGAAGGCTTAACAGCAGCTCAGCATCTTCAGAACATCCCAGGGCTTGAAAGGCATTTTTGATCAAGCCTGGCCAGCCCAGTGTCAAAGGGGTGATGCTGGGAGGAAGAAATAAATTCATATCTGAAGAGGAAGGGCCTTTCCACGAAAGGCTGACAGTTCTAAGGTGTTGCAGAGTAAAAACCACTGCAATTAGGGAGCAGTGAGGAGGAGGGAGAGCTCACACCCTGTGGTTATTAGAGAGCAAAACAGCACCTCTTGGGTGTTGTCCCTGAGGATGTGCATGGACAAGAAAAGGTATTTATGCCCAGGAAGGTGGGATGTTCCTTGTCCCAAAAGATGATAATCATGATGTTTATCACACTAAAATCCTGAATTCCAGGCAGCAACTTCCCCACAGTCCATTGGCAGGAGGGCAAAATCACCGGTGATGTCCTTCCAGTGCCAAGGTTAACTCTGGTCACACCAAAGAGACATCACCTATTCAGTGAACACCAGGCCAGGATGGACAGAAAGGAGGGAAAATCCCCCACATCCCTGGGGGAATCCACAGGGATAAAGGGCAGGATGGTGCCAAGCACATGAATTCATCCTTTGACACAACAGCGGCCAAGGAACTCCCCAGCTGCCAGAATGAAAGAGTTAAAAAGCCACCACTGTGCAAATAAAACTCCAAATAAAGTTCTCCCAGACTTCACAGCGAGAGGCAGCTACAATTCCAAATTTTAACAGGCAGGAAGGAATCTTGGAGATGTTCCACCTGCCCCAAACACCAGCCCAGGGGACTCCAGGAGAGCAGCACTCACAGAGGAAGGTGTGACCCACAAATGAGATCAGACTTTGCACCTCCAGTGGATGAGACTCCTCCTTGCTCTGTCAGCAGTGGTAAAGAAGAATCTGGCAGAGAAAGGTAAGAAATTTTGGGTCCCTTCCAAGCCAGGCCCATTCTGTGAGTCTGTGAACCTGTGATTCTATGAGCCCATTATTCTATCATCCTGTGAGTCCATAATTCCACAGTTCTGAGTCCATAATTCCACAATTCTGAGTCCATAATTCCACAATTCTATGAGTCCATAATTCTATGATTCTGTGAGTCTATGATTCTATGAAATACTTGCCACAAGCCCTGCCCCAAAAAGATTTATTACATGGCCAAGAATCCAAAGACCTTCCTCTTCAGAGCACCATTTCCTTGAAAGCATCTTTTTGCCACAAACACTCGGTAATTTTTCCCAGCCCCCTCCAATGTGCAAGGTGGGCCCCCCAGAGGGTGTGAGGAGAGGAAGAACAGGGTGTGAGGTTTGCTGGCAGTTGGAGTGTCCCACCCTCCTCCCACACTCCACTCCCTCTAAAACAGGCTCCTAAGGGAAAGGTCCCAGCTCTTCCCAGCAGCTTCTGCTGCTCAGGGTGTTTCTAAACTTCCAGGGTGTTTCTAAAGAACAAAAGATTCCTCTTCAATTTCCAACTGGAATTTCACCAGAGCATCAAAGATATCAGTTTAATTAGTGAGATGGCACCCAAATCCTCACAGCTTAATGCCATTCACCAGGACCACCTGTTGGATCGTGACCATGAAGGTCACAGCTACTCAGGGCATCTTCTGGCCACAATTCACTTTACTCCCTTCCCTCACTCACTGACCCCTCAGTTTACACCTCAAATCTACTTCTTTTCCCTTTTGAAATATATTTTCTGCTGGGAGTCTTTGGTTTGGAAGTAGAAGAAGCAAAGGCTTACTTCATCCTCTGCCCCCCCGTGCTCTGGCCTTGGGGCTGGGGGGTCTCCAGGGCAGAGACTGGAAAACATCCAGGAGGTGTTTGAGGTCTGCAAAAAAAATAATAAATCAAAATCAGTGCCCTCACTGCCACCCTGGGCTCTCTCTCTGTGACTCCCCAGGCAGGTGTGTTGTTCAGCTGACAGATGGGCCTGTCCAGAAAGCATTTGAAGATCTTTGCTGGACTTTAATAAAGATATTTCCAGCATTAGAAGGAAGATTTTGGGCTCTTTCCACCTGCCTCCCTGGTACCACGATACCCCTCTGGTCCACACACAGCAAACAGGCCTGGCAATAACTCAATTACAGCTTAAAAAACAATCATCACAAACCCAGGGGAAGCAGAAAAGAGAAAGGCAAAATCTCCTAAACCTGGTTTATTCCTTAGCACGGCTGAAATTCTGAGCAGGACTCAAAACCAACAACCTCCTATCCCTCCTTCCTGGGATGTTCCAGGGATGAGGACGGGGAGAAGCAGCAGTAAAAGGTGGTGGCATCGCTGCACAGGTGACACCTGTGTGTGGTCACGTTTTGGGTGACCACCACGTTTTGTGGGTGCCACTCAAAGTGCTCCCTTGGGAGCCACAATTTCCACAGCTCAGAAGCCTTTGCTGAAACACAGAAATCAGGAAAAGGGCATCCAGAACAACCTTTTCTTTGAAAATTCCTTTTCTTCCTAACACAGACACAGTAACTCCTTTTTTTTTTTGGTGGGTCTCTGAACCTGGAATCTCAAGAGGGCTTTGCAGGAGAGGATTTAAAAACCCTCCTTGTTTGGGATGGCAATAAACATTTCATCCAGCTTGCAATCAAATCACAGGGTCATTAAGGTTGGAAAAGACCTCCCACCTCATCAAATCCAACCTGAGCCCGATGCCCACCCTGTCCCCCAGCCCAGAGCTCTGAGTGCCACGTCCTGGCCTTCCTTGGACACCTCCAGGGCTGGGGACTCCAAACCTCCCTGGGCAATAACCTCTTGCCTGTGCTCAGGCAGGAGAGTGCCCAGATCACAGAGCTTCACCCTGGCAGTGATCCTGCAGGATAAAATTCACCCCATCTTCTCTCCAGCCAGGGATGAACACCTTGCTCAGAGCAGCACAAGGAAGACTGCACTGAATCCCAGAATGTGCTGAGCTGGAAGGGACCCACAAGGTTTGTTATCCCAAGTGAGACCAACTCTTAAATTAAAGCTTAAATTAGAAAGAAGAGATTTATACACACATATATATATATATTCAGACACACCTGAAATAAATAAATAAATATATATATATATGCATGTACACATACCTGACCATAACCACCTGCTCTGTTCCCTCTCTCCACCTGCACAAACAGCCTCAACTCTCTCTCCCAGCCTTTTAAACACAAGGAACCAAGGAGTGACCACCCCCTTCTTCCTGGGGAAACGTTTCCTCCTTTCCACCAGCTGAGGACAGAAGGACACTTTGCCTCCCTCTCCTCCTTCCCTCTTCCAGCAGCCTGGAAAACTCACTTTGCCCCCCTCCATCCAGATGCTTTCAACAGCTGTGGACAACAAGAAACCTCCCCAGACGTTTTCAGGAGCTGACAACGTTTTATTGCTTCACTTTTATTGGGTTTATTCATGTTAATTGTTTTACCCTCAGCTGAGCTCTGACTCAGTGCCTGTTGCAGCTCAGGTTGTGCTGCTGCTGCCTTTCAAGTGCTTCTTCCTTTGCACTGTGTTTGGATTATTTTACTTTCCAGTTATATTATCTTAAATTTTTCCACTTTGAGGCACATCTTGCCGTTTCTTACCCTTATTGCTCAGTTTCTGTTTCGTTATATTATTTTTTCTGCCATTTTTTTCATTTGTAACACTTCCAAACATTGTCTCACTTGGACCTTAAACTAATGTCCCATTTGTCCTTTCTTTCCCACTATTAATTCTTCTGCTAAATACTTTACTAATTAAACCACTGAGCATTAAATTTGAATGCTGAGTGCAATATGAAGTTCTTCATGTGACGAAATTCCAACACACATCAGTGTTTTGAACTAAATATCTAACATTTCTTCTCCTTCCTGCACATAAATTTTGGAACATAACAAATAAAAGAAAAAAAAAAGAATTAAATATCAAGACAAAGTGAGGATGGTGGAATTGTAGCTGTGTTTAATTTTCTTCTGTCTTTAATATAAAACCCAGCAAACTGAGCAGCACTGAAGCTGAAGCTTGAGGCTTTCACAGTGCTGGGTCAGGGCTGTGAGTAGCTTAAGGAATACAGGGATAAGGAATCCTTAGGAAAAATAGTATTTGAGGGGTTCAAGATTTCTCCCTGGTTTTATCAGATCTTGTTCAGTGACAGCTCCAGTCCCCTGTCCAGCTGGATCTCTCTAAACTGAACTGTTATGAAATGGTTTATGATTCTCTGAAATCCACAGTGGGGAGGGTAAGGGGAGAGATCCAAGTGCAAATTAAGACCTGAATAATATGAAGTCAATTAGTAGGACTTTTAAGCACGGGATAAAGAGGTTAAAAAAAAAAAAAAAACAAAACAGATAAAGCAAAAGCAATCAAAAGAACATTTTTCAGGAAATTTATCCAACATATGACAAACTTATGAAGTCACTGGATTTGTGCAACACAGAGCTTGAGATCTCTAAATACATGAAAGGATGATGTGCATGCCTGGATTGACAGAAAAAACTTCCTCAAAGAAAATTAAACTGATAAAACACCCAGGGATCACCCAGCAGTTGGTACCAACCTGCTCCTGCAGTTTGTGTGGGAAGGTTTTTGCAAAGCTGGACCAGGACATGGGATGAGACATCACAGAGCCATGGAATGCTTTGGGTGGGAAGGACCTTAAAGCTCATCCCCTTCCCACCCCCTGCCATGGACAGGGACATCTTCCACCAGCCCAGATTGTTCCAACCTGGCCTTGGACACTTCCAGGATCCAGGGGCAGCCACAGCTTCTCCGGGAATTCCATCCCAGCCCTTCACCACCCTCACAGCCAACAATTCCTTCCCAATATCCCATCTCTCCCTGCCCTCTGGCAGTGGGAAGCCATTCCCTGTGTCCTGTCCCTCCATCCCTTGTCCCCAGTCCCTCTCCAGCTCTCCTGGAGCCCCTTTAGGCCCTGCAAGGGGCTCTCAGGTCTCCCTGGAGCCTTCTCTTCTTCAGGGGAACCTCCCAGCTCTCCCAGCCTGGCTCCAGAGCAGAGGGCTCCAGCCCTGGGAGTTTTGGGTACAAGGCAATGATCAGCCCTCCCCATGTGACAGTGACAGTCTCTTCACCTGCATTTTTCTTTCCAAAGGCATCAACAACTCCTCACATGGCTCTGAGGACGTTTGGGGAGATGGGGAGGGCTCTTCTCCCACCACCTCCCCCAGTGCCACCATTGCATTTCCACCTCCCCCAAAGAATCCAGAAAGCCCCTTCCTTCAGGGCAGCTCCACAATCCCATCACACACCAGGGGCAGCTTCACAGTCCCATCACAAAGCAGCACCGTTAATTTTATTCAGCTTTGAGCCTCTGCCTGTGCAGACTCTGTCCTCTCCTCAGCCTGTGCCAGGGACACAAGGCTCCTGTGTTTATTCAGGTTTTTTTTTTTCTGGCTGAACTGATGCACCCCCAGAATTACCCTCAGTGACCCAGACTGCAGGACCAAGGGTGGTTTTGTGAGACACAAGGCAACAGTTCCTTGCTGGGGCAGTGAAAAGGCTGGATTTACACTGAGGCAACAAAGCCCAACCCTTGAAAATGCTGCCCCTTGGGCAGGTGAACTCCTTAAATTTAAGGAGCACAGAAGCCATGGATGGAATAATTTCTCTGAGCTGAGAGAGCAGCCACCTGTGGAAGGGACAAACCAAAAATATGAAAACTGCTTTTCTAGCCCATGTGATTCCATCAGAAACAGGGTTTTGAGTGGCTTGTTCAGTTGTTTGCTGTCCCAGTCCCAGGAGAGAGGAAGAAATAGAGTCAAACATGGAGCTGGGAAGGGGCTGGAGCATCAGGAGCAGCTGAGGGAGCTGGGAGGGCTCAGCCTGGAGAAAAGGAGGCTCAGGGGGGACCTTCTGGCTCTGCAATCCCTGACAGGAGGGGGGAGCCGGGAGGGGTCGGGCTCTGCTCCCAGGGAACAGGGACAGGAGGAGAGGGAACGGCCTCCAGCTGTGCCAGGGGAGCTGCAGTTTGGATATCTGGAAAAATTTCTTTACTGAAAGAGTTTGTAAGCATTGGAAGGGGCTGCCCAGGGAGGTGGGGGAGTCCCCATCCCTGGAAGTTCAAAGCTAAAGGTTTTCAGCAAGAAGAGCTGCACAGTAGGTTGGAAAGCTGTTAAAGTCACAGAATATTCTGAGTTGGAAGGGACCCCCAAGGATCACCCAGTCCAACTCCTGGCCCTGCACAGGACACCCAAACAATCCCACCCTGTGCCTGGGAGGGTTCTCATTCTTTTATTGTTAGGAAACAATTCAACTGAAATAAGATTTTTGCTCTTTAGGAGTTTGCCACTTCAGCCTGTTTCCTGCCTCAAGGCTTTCAACCCTTGTTCAAGGTACAGTAATTGGTGTGAAGAAGAATCAGCCCAAAGGAAGAGCAGGTGAAATTTTGTAATGGATCTCCTTTTTTTCCAACCAGCAAAGTTAAATCAGGACTAAATTTGGTTCGGGATATTCTGCCTGTGAGACTCCCTGGGTTTTTCTGGAGACTGTGTTTTAGAAAGTCAGGATGGCAAATACCTTTGCAGTCACTTTTGAAAGATTTTACTGATTAATTCCTCTTTCATTCCTTATTAAATCTGGCATCCACATGGGTGCTCTGCTGACATCTCACACCAGTGGGATTAGGGAACAGCAAGAGCAGTGCTGGGGTGACCAAAACTAAAACCACGCAGGGAAAGGAATAGAAAAAGAGGGAAAAGAGGAAACCAGTGTCACCCTCCCTGTGGTGGCAGTTAAAGAGCTGTCACCACCCCCCTGCAGCTGAGGAGTAGCATTTATTATCCTCACCCAGGTTTATCTGTTGACATCGAATGGAGCTTTTTTTTTTTTCTTTCTTTCTAATCATTTGGATTTATAACT